TGTGACACCACCAGCCCAGCACAGGATCCAACTCAGGGCAGCCCAGTTCTCCACCAGAGCCGACCAGAAAAAGACAGGTAGGTCCCAATGCCACCAAGTAATCAACATCTCTCCTACACCCATAGTAGCATCCAAATCATTCAGTTAGAACCTGCGTTCACACACACCACCACTCTCATCATCATCTTTCCTAGTAGTCAACTTATCCTCACCTTTGAATGAAAATGCTAAACAATTTTAATGCTTGTGATATTGATATCCTAAATTATAATTAATATTGATAGAATATATTTTGTTTAGCTCCTCTCTATTTTCAATACTTTAAGTTATCTAAATAATAGAATGTCAATAATCTTTAATTATGTTATATAAACATCACTGTACTGAAATAATATATTGTACTGAAATAATGTATCAACATTTATAATAACACCGTAAAAAAATAGTATTTAAAAAACACTTTAAAACTAAAACATGCCTCAGCTATGGGGTTGAGATGAGACAAAGGGAACAAGGGTAGGGGCAAGAGGAGCCTTTCTGGATATTTATATCTTTTCTGTTGGCTACAAAGTTTTAAAATAAATGTTTTTAACAGTGTATGCCACTCACATACACTCAATATGGAGTTGGGCAACTTGAAAAAGTTGACAAATAAATATTATGAGATGATAGCATACATACATACATACATATGATCACCAGTGCAAGGTAACTCTGTCATGAGGACTGACTAATGGGAAGGGTGGAAAAAAGGGAACTAGGGAGAAACTAAATAAATATATGCGAGAGCAAGTATAGGGAGCAAAAACTGAGGAAAGGGGGATGTTACTAATGTACAAGATTTCAAACAGAATTACACAATTACATGTGGAGTAAACCTAATATTAATAATTCAGTCCAAGATGAAACCAATAAGCATTAAAACATATACAATAGTTGAAAATGCATTTCTGTCTGTCCGTCCATCCATCCATCCATCCATCCATCCATCCATCCATCCATCTCATTAAAAAAAAAAAAAA